GAATGCCCTCCAAAATGACAGCCCCGCTCAGCTCTTGTAAAGTCAAGGCTTATGGCATCAACCCATCTCATAGCTGATCTTCCTCTTCTGCCTTTGACTTTCCTTAGCTTTAACAACTGCTGCCATGAGTCTTGTCTTCCCATGATGTGTCCAATTTACAACAGCCTCAGTATCCCTATTTTTTGCTTCCAGAGAAGGTTCTGGTTTGATTTAATCTAGGACCACTTGATCCTCCCTGTTGGTCCAAGGTATTCATAAAGCTCTCCTCCAGTAACATCCTTTGAACACAACAATTCAAAATGAAATATGTTATATTACAGATACTTCACAAGTTCTAGGGCTGGCAGACAGTAAGGAAGGTGAGGGAAGGACGATGCTGCTACACAGCTACATGTAAAGAGCCAAATACAGAAATCACCAGCACTGTAAGGCTAGGGATGTGCGAGGCATCCATCTGGGGGTGAGAACCCATTGGATTTTCTGGGCTCGGCTCCTGGGACTCTAGTGTGCTTTGTTGAGGCACTCGGTAGGAGTCCCTGTTGAGCAAGCCCCACATGCACATTCGCATGAGTCCAGCTCCACGTGCTCTGCAAGCAGCATCCCTCTTCTGGGCTACATGCAGCAGCCTTTGCGCTACTGCATGTGATGTGGAATTAGGCAGTTTGTGCGGATCTCAATGGGAAGAGTGTTCCAGGCAGCCACTAAACCAGGGGTCCTCAAACTTTTTCAACAGGGGTCCAGTTGAAAGGTGCTGGTGACGGGCGTGGGCCAGTGCAGTGGGCCGGTGTGGGGGCGGGGCACGCGCAGAGATCGTTTTCTCTGAGCGAGTCCAAAATGATCTCTGCACGAGCAAGCCGCTGCCTTGCCACAGGTGTGTGTGCACGTGGCAAATCCAAAACCTCTGAGGTGGGCTGGATAAATGGGCATGGCAGGCCGGATCTGGCCCGCGGGCCATAGTTTGAGGATCCATGCAGTAAACAAACAGCATCCTTCTTCTGTGCCTGTTTGTGCTACTGCACCTGACATGGAAAAAAGTTGCCCGTTGCACAAATTCATCCCACGAGGCTTTGCACTTCCTCCCGACTCTTTTTCTAAGACCAGGGATTCCACCAAGTTTCATCGAACCCTACTTTAGACGATGAAGCATGAGCAGACATTCTGCAAGTATGCTGCATCGTGGTACATCAGGTCCACCAAGGTTTCCAGTTCTGCCTTCCAGGAGTCCTTTCCCCATAATTACTGATTATTGGGTGGTTTCTTAGCTTTTGTGCAGATTTTTCTCCATCTGAAAAGGTTGAAATGGCTTTCCTGAGGGCTAATTACTTGGAGTGGGTGCTAAGCTAAAAGATGCTGGGATTTTTAAATTATTTTGCATTTCAGATATGCCTCTTTCACACACCCACTACTAGAATACGGCTCCCAATAGCTTCTTTGAAACTGAAAAGAGCTCAGAAGTTGAAACATGTTCAGCATCCGTTCTATTCCACCACCACAATGTCACAGAACCCCATAAATCCCAGGCAAACCAAATTTATTAGGAATGATCATTTGTTTTCACCTTATTGCCTTTTACTCCTTGTCTCCATGTATGATTTTCTCTCCAGGTCTTTTCCCAGAAGAGGTATACAAAGAAATAAATCACATACAAATGTGCATAGTTTTATAATACACTGAAGAATTTCTCTGCCCTTAGGGAGAGTTTACAGATCCTGGAGAAACTGGCTTTCCAGAGTCATCTGGTCGGCCTCCGAGAAACTGAATGCTGGATAGACAGCTTTTTTGGTCTGTTTCAGCAAAGATCTTCTTATGTCTTTAATCTGGATTAAACAGTCTCTTTCCACAGATGAACCTTGAAGGGAAGCGGAAATGAATGCAGAGGCTTCGACACTATTAGGACAGAGAAGTTATTAAACACAAATAGCTCTGCAGTGGTCACCAAGCAGTCATGAAACAGAACAGGCATTCATGAGTCAAGAGAAAATGGAAGTAGAAATATTTATTAAAACTAAAAGCACAAATCATGAACAAGGCTTGTTATAAAAAAGGCACACACAGAAGTGCTTTTCCCTCAGTGTTCAGGCACTGGGATGTGCAGCAGTTTTTGCAATGCATCTACCTGCATGGATGCTAAAGGACCCAGAGCTCCTGGCTGGGCACTTACAAAAAAGGTGCAATCCTTTACAAACCACCCTGATATCCCAGCAACCTTTAGCCACCCCCAACAAAATACCATCGCTTTCCAGGAGATTCCATTATTCCTCAAATTAAAACATCCATCCTGGGATGTGTACCACTTCTTGGGGTTGAAGGTACCCTTCTCCTCTACTGTGTTTTCAATTTTAATAAAAGAACTCAACAAAAGTCAGTCCCCACTTGGACTTGGTCCAGGCTTTTCAATGGATGTAGTTAAAGAGGCCTACAGAAAGAAGACAACCCATGGACAATTTCCTTGCTCCAGCAGATCAAGGTTTTCAAAGCTATTGGCATTATGTGCTGTACTAAGTGCTGGCCATTTGGGTTAGAAGATCATGATTGATAGCAGCACCCTTTTCTGCAGCTGCTTCTAGGCATCCATGCTGAGATACAACATTCCTGAAATATCAGATCATGGGCTTACCTGGATCCCACGTGTTTCTTCACTACACTAAGAAGCTGAGTCTCCCCCTTGCCAACGGCTTGGAGCTTCAGGCTAATAGTCTGCGGGTCACCACTACAATGGAAGAGGGCCTGCAGAAGAGCCACCTTTCAGTCGATCCTTCCACAATAAATATCAACTCGCATAGCATACACTCTTCTCACAGCCTGCCTGTAATGTGTATCTCCTTTATATCTTTACCCCGGTTGAGCCACTTGTATTTCTGCCTTTCTCTCTTCTCAGAATACAGAGGCTGGGTACAGAATCCAGTGCGCTATTGTTGCTATCACCTGTAGAGCCAATCACTCTCCCTCCCATGAAAGTCTTCATAATACCCATTATGTTCGGGGAGTACTTTAGCATAGAAAATGCAAAACCTCAAAAGGGATTAAAACCTCCTTTTAAAAAGGGGGAGCCTGATTATCAACCACTTGTAAGTTTATCTGTAGAAGCAAAGTGAGTGTGAGACAGTCATCGAGAAGTAATCTGAAAAATAATCCTTGGATACCTTCTGCTGCAGGTGGTGTAAGAGTGAATCTGGAAACTTGAAAATGGAGCACTTTTGATGCAAAAATAAAAAGCTAGCAGCCTTATACCATAGGTAAGACAATTTAATGAAGACCATGTAATATGGGTGGCATATTTTTGAGCATCTGGAGATTTGTAATCCGCAGCTCCATCCCAGATAGCCACGAAGTGCTCCTTACATTTTGGTAACAGTCTGAAAAGCGAAATTCACTTGACAATTACCTAAGTAGTAAGGAGAGCTGCATGATTTATGGCTGCTCACATTTCCTGGAAACACAACATGCTCCGACGGCACAGCATGCGTGCAAGATGTGTGTTTCCACCCATCCATAACAGAATATTCCAATAGTTCCTTCAGCAACACTGAGAAGTGCTGTTCACAGGAAGCATCAGAACGTTCCATTTGGTCACATGCTCAACGGATGTTTTATGGGACCAATTTATTCCAGGTTTTTGTAGTGACCACTTTGTGACTGTGTGCAGGAGCAGGGATTAAGAGAATCACTCTCCCTTGAGGAAAACGGTCAGGCACTTCATATGAACAAGGAAGTGTGTGTTGTCAGCAATGGGGCAAGACCTGGAACCTCCCTAGGAAAAGCAACCGCACACAGAATGGATACACCACAGGGAACTGCTAGGTTCAAAGTTGTTTACAGCAGTGACTAGGACTAAGAGCAGCAGTAACTCCTAGAAGGTTCCAGAAGAGATGGCTTTGGACAGGACAGGAGTTCCCTGTATGTAGCCTAAAGCAGTGGAGGGCAATACATGCCACCCATGGCTTGAATGCTGTCTCATACTACTGAAATTTGGTAGTCCTGCAGAAAAAATTGGCAACATGCCGCTGACATTTGACGGTAAACTTCTAGAGACTTGAAAATGCCAAAATCACTTGCTTTCAAGCAGAACGTGACCCTTTTGAGCCTCCATAGTAGTTTGCCACCAAATTTCTGCACAGCAGCAGCAGCCAATTATTTTGCTTTTGTGGACAGTGTGGTGGCAAGAGTGTGGCCTCTGGGGAGGGCCTGAGAGCTAAAAATCATCCCCTTGAACAGCCCAAGTTGTCCATCCCTGAGCTAGAGGAAAGTGACTTATGCAAGTGCGACCAAGTCCTTGCATTGCTTGTTCTATGAAAGAGAAAAAAAGGCCAACCAAGGGTAAAGATGTAAAGAGACATACCATGTTATCCATTCCAAAGTAGCAGTGGGGAGGAAGAACAAAGCCCTTAGCAGTTGTTCCGAAGAAGCCTCATTACAGACGTTCAGCTTGCAGTATGCTATTATTAAGAACTGGGTCAGTCAGCGGTTTCTCCTTGCACAACAGCGGCACAGCCTAGTCAGTCATTCTGCAGCACTGAAGGCCACAGGGTTACGGTAGGGATCCCACAATCGTACTGAGCGAGTGGGTGGAGTCTATAGGGTAGGCACGCTGCCCACCTCCACTTTTATGCAAAGTTTGCAGCCCGATTGCATTCTGATCTGAGGGCACATGCCTTATTTGACAGCCAGAGAAATTCCAGTCATGGAGAGATCCAATTTTTCTGGACAAGGGAAAACATTTGACCTTCTAGAGCAGTTTAATGTAACCCAAGACCAGTACCACCAGAACAGCTTTCCCATTCAGGCAGGCCCATGTAGCTTTGTTTCCTCCGAGAATAGCCCAAATGGAAAGCGCTGTTCCACCAGCCTACCAATGCCATAAAGAGTTACTAAAGCTCCCCCATCTCGTCCCCCCTCCCCTACACATACACACCCTACCCCCACCCCCATTACAGTTGCCTTTTTGTCAAGCAAGTGAAGCCCCTACAAAACAGGAACACCCTTTGGTGAGTTCCAGTAACTGAAGTAAGCAGTATTTATTAAAATGAGAAGGCACCTAAGAGAGAACAATGAACTTCACCTTGTTATATGCTAGGTACACCTCTCAAGATGCAATTCTATGCATGTTAGACAGGACAAAAAGGCCTACAACTCCCAGCATGCCTCAGGCATTTTTTTCCTATCTAAACATGCACAGAATTGCACCCTTAGTCAAGCTGGCAACCTCCACCCCTTTCATGTTTTGCTAAAGTCCCTTTCCTCTTTGCTTTCTCACATCTACAACTACTTCTCAAAATGGATACATCCAGGACACAGCTACACCATCTTCAGACTCATGTACTAGCCCAGTACATGCCCCCCTCTTTCTCTTTCTTTCTTACCCACCCCTCAACATCCCCAAAAGTTTCTCTACAAGATGAATCTGCAGTCAATTTTCTAACAATAAATAGCATTTCAATACCGCAATCTCATCCAGTCATACTCCATCACACGGATGGGACACTCAGCAAGGTCTTGCTGTTGGGTCAAACAGCTCAACTACAGACATACCAACTACTCATTTCCAAAACACTGTTCTTCCATTCTCAGTTGCTAGGTTAGCTATTCTAACAGGGTACAATATGGCCTTTTCCCACATGTCTGGACATGCAGGAGTTCCACTTCATGCAGCCTCCTCCTCAGATACTTTCCTTACCTTCCAGGAGCACTGGATGGAGCCACATAAATAATAAATAAATAATATGAATTTGTGACATCCGGACAATCCCGCAGTGCTTAGCACGGGGCAGTGTGGAGACGGAAGTCAGTATTTTTGGCTTTGCTTCACAGGGAAGCCTATGAACAGAAGACTTCTTGTTTTGCAGTACAATCCGGGCTAGAGTCCCTCGCACTTATGGAGACTAGGAAGCCACACTGCCCCTCTCCTGATGAAGCAACATGCTCTTGCTAACTTCGCTCCCTAACTCAAGCAATGTCCCATCTGTCTTGTCGACCTTCTGCTCAGAGATAAGGGCAACCAAACACTCTTGGCCACCTAGCCAGCTACTTCTAGAAATAATAATTAAAACCCCACCCCACCTCCAGATATGTACATATTCCACCAGGAGGTGGGAGGATCAGAAACCTTCCAAGAAAATATGTATTGGGGAGATGGGGGGAGCCCAAAATAAATAAATAATCTATACAGAACTCTCCTTAAAGCTTTATCGTGAGAACCTCCAAGAACAAGATTCTCATGCTCTGTGCTAATATCCAGAAACAATTCAAACCACCATTGTTGGGGGCCTTGTATTCAGAAACTCAACTTGCCTTCAACCAGGCATTTAAAAAAATTAAGAAAAAGACCTTCTTCAGCACGTCTGATTATCCATTTTGTTTCATTAACTTAAGCGGCTTCTTTTCATGAAAAACTCTCTCTTGGTGCCAGCCTGCCCGATCCCAGTTGCTTAGCCTCCCTTCCTCAACATGGCTCATTATTTCGTGACTCAACTGCAAATCTCAGGTTTACATCTTGCCAGCAAAGAGAACTTCTCCCATGCCTGAACAACGAGTTGTTAATGCCTCAAGGCCAGCTGTCAGAAAGATCTGATCTCAAGGACGGCAGGGAGTTGGGTTCTTGCTATTCCTCTTGAAAGTACTGTTCCTGTCTTGCTCTCTTGCAGCTGGCTAAGGGAACAGTGTCCCCCTCACAGTAATACCCAGAGTATTGTTGCCTTGCATCCTGAATGAAGCTTGGCTGGGAGAGGGACAAAGGGACATGCATTTCTCAGAAAGAGAGCTCCAGACAGCCATGTCTTCCACAGCAAGAGGAAAATCTTTCACTGCAAGGTGAAAGCAGGTAAGCAGATGACAGGATGGGGGCCTGAAACAATTATGAGTGAGAAATCAGGGAAAGGAGTGGTTGAGCTAGAGTAAGTTAGCTGTTGCTAGGGCAACAGCTTCACTAGTCTACCCCATAGTCAAAGCATGGCACCAGAGGGGCATGGCACCTCTACCCCACTGTCTCCTAGTCACTACCTCTAGGGGCTTGGGTCTGGCAGGCTCAAGGTAGTTGAGCCCCAAGCTGGCCCCTTACAAGGTCACAGAGAGGGGACAGCAACATTCACAGCAGCAATCAGCTTCACAGCCACCTTCCTCAATCACAGGGAGGTGGCCAGAAATAGGCAGCTGCCTCTAGGATCCAAATCCCTCCACTGCCTTCCCAGCCCCAGCCTCCTGCTTGCTCCCCTGGAATCCGTTCCACAGCACGCTGGCCCCAGAGGCCACAGCCGGCCTTGCGATTACATTCAGATGTCAACTCTGAGAGGATACCCTGGAGTGGGGGCAGGGTCAGCCGAGTGGCACTCACTCCCATCCCCACCTCCATCAGAGGATGCTCAGAAATCCAAGGAAGTAAAGTCTCCAAAATCACAGTCAAAGAGCTCGCTGATGCCTTCACCCTCCTCGAGCCCAAAGTGATAGTCCTGGGTCTGGGGGGGTGAAAGAGCGATGAATTCGGAAGGCAGGAAGCTTGAGAAGTCGTCCTTGCCTTGGTGGAGCAGGGCGTCCACGCAGGCCAGTGGCGAGAGGTTCACGTCGTCCCCGGGGCACTTCAGAGGGAGCGTGCTCTCTCCAGGCAGGAATGGCTCTGCTGCAAGAGAAGGAGGCAAAGGGGGGCTGTCAGCTTGCCTGTGCAGTCAGGGCGCGTGCACACAGATGCCGCTCGCTCCGAGTCGGTTAGCCCGGCTGAACTCTTCCACACACAACCACCGCAGCAGGTCTCAAGGAGCCTCGGCCATGCCCTCTCGCTCAACCTTGCAAGCAAGCACACGGAAGTGCCTGGGTCACAAGATTCCTCCTCCTCACACAGCTAGTGTGGTGCAAACGACAGAATGATGGGCTGAGGCTTGTGTGATCTGGGCTCTAGCCTCCACTTTGCCATGCAGCTCCCTGGGTGACCTTGGGCCAGTCACTGGCTTTCAGGCTAGCCAGCCTCACAGGAGCATTGTGATAAAATAGATAGGAGGAGACTCACGTGAGCATCTTGGGCTCCTTGCAAGAGGAAAAATGGTGATGGATTTCTGCAACACACATATATTTGCTTAGGGCATTCGGCAAGCTCACATTCATGCAGTGCCGACTGGGAGGAGGGGCGAGCCTCCCCGACTGCTCCCTCTGCTTTGCATTTCTGTTAGACACTCGCCTAGCCGCAGCATCTCTGAGCAGCAGGGAAGGAGACTGGAGTGGATCTGGGATCTCTCACAGCCTGGCTGTGCCAGTCTCCTCCCCTCACCACCCCTCTCCAAGCTTGCTTTCCTGACCTTGGAGAGTAGCTGGTACAGCTCCTTCCATGCTGGCAGTGAGGAAATGGGGGTCCCGGGGCCAAGAGTGGAGAGCAGTTTCCAACCTTGGATCTGGGAACCTGAAAAATCCTAGGACACCTCAGACAATGTTTACAGGCTGTGGACTCATTCATTTGCATCCTCACTGTCATCACCACCACTGTATGCTCCCTTGGGAGGTTTCTGCCCTGAAAGGCAGCCAAGAAATGTTTTATTTTTAAAAATGGATTTATTTGTTTTTAAGTGTTTAAGTTAATTTAGGAACGGAGAGGTTAAGTGAATGCAGCAGGCTGAGGGACAACACCACCCCTGCAATCAGCAAAAGCTTCTCAGCACACTCACCTAGAAGACATTTTTGGGTGTCACAGGTAGACAAACAAGTAGCTTACACTCCTGCGCGTGCTGCTGACTTTCTTGAACCGTTCATGGGCCAATGTGTTTCCCTGAAGGAACTCAAAGCTCCACGGGCTGCCATGCCCATCTCCCACTATTGCACAATTCCCATTTAGACCAGTGGTGGGCAACCTGGATGCTGCAGGCCTCCAACTCCCATCAGCCCCAGCCAGCATGGCCAGTGGTTGGGAACCATGGGAGCTGGAGTCCAACTCTACTTGGAGGGCCACAAGTACCCCATCACTGGTTGAGAGGCAACTGCCTCTGATATGCAGCCAAGTCTGGCTAGTGAGCCAAGTACAGAGTCTTGCTGTTACCATAAGGCCCTGATGGTTTGGGACCAGGTTACCTGGCAGACTGACTTCCCTGGCACAGAGCTGTGCAGTCATTATGGTCAATGCAGGAGATCTTAATGATTGTACCATGACCTGCAGGTGCCACCTTGCAGCAACCAGCAAGCAAGCCTTCTCCGTGGTGGCACCCATTTTATGGAACAATCTACCCCATGGAGTTCAGGAGTTGCCAAACACCTATTTGCCGAGTTGCCAAACACAGGTGCTTTAGACACCTATTAAATGCCCATTGTTTTACCCAGTCCTTCCCAATGCAGATGCTGCCTAGTGCTGTTTTAAGTGATTTCAATGTTTTTATTCATTTTTTTGCAACACTATGCATTTTGATTATATTGGAATGTACTCTGAACTTCTTAGAGATTTATTTCTATATGCTCAGTGATATATAAATCCATTAATAAATAATTAAGTCTCAAAGTGGCTTTGAGACTCACCCTCTAAAACTGTTAACAGAAATTGCCCAGAGGCAGGTCTGGTTTCCAATACAGACGTCAGCTGTGTGGATTGTACTCTGTTACCAATCTGTTTTTGATAGAAACCCTTTTTCCAAGGGAAAAAGTCAGTCTGCTCCAGATAGCTGCAGCTATGAAAGATATTTGAATTTTTTTTTCGAACCAAATGATTAAGGGGCTGGTGGAAGAAAATGTTACATTGCTTGGGACTTTTTAACTTGGGGTAGGGCGGGGGAAGGGCTAGTATAGGCAGACATATTGTGGGCAGACAGGAATATTTTTTTTTCTCCCTCTCTTAAATATACCAGAACTCCAAGTCATCCTATGAAGCTGAATGATGGTAGGTTCATGGAAGATAACAGGAAATACTTTTTCACACAGCACATAGTTAAACTGGGGAATTCACCACCGCACACTGTGCTGATGGACGTCCATTTGAATGGCTTTAAAATTGAAAAAGACCAGTTCCTGGAGGAGAAGGCTACTAACCATGACGGGGAGAGAGGTCTGCCACTGCACTGGGCCTCTGTATACCAGTAGCTGGGGAACGCAAGCAGGAAGAAGCTAATAGCTCCTAATAGTGCGCTTTGCATGGACAGGATGCCCACTGTAAACACAGAATGCTGGACTAGATAGCTCCGTGGCCTAATTCAGCCTGGCTCTCATGCTCTTCTGTTTTAGAAACGAACTACAATTATTTGGAAGATAATTTTCTCACTTAAAAAAGCTATGTATTGTGTGGTGTAGTGGTTAGGAGCATGGGTCTGGGACTGGGACGATTTGGGTTCGAGTCCCCGCTCAGCCATGGAGCCAACTGGGTGACTTTGGGCCAGTCACAGACTCTCAGCCCAACCTACCTCACAGGGTTATTGCTGTGGGGGATAAGATAGGGGAAGAGAATGATGTAAGCTGCCTTGAGCCCTTTGTAGGAAAAAGGCAGGATATAAACTGGAAAATAAATAAAAAAAATAGAAATAAGGGAAAATGTGCCTGTTTCCCCTTGCCGTGTACATTTTAAAAGCTGTTTGTGGTCCCCTCTTGTTGTGAGGGGCTCCTTTCCACCAAGTCTGCCTTACCAAAGTTGCTAAAATTGTGACAGGTATCTCAGAAGAAGAGTCACATTTCTTCTTCCACCTCTAACCTCCCCAAAAGCTCCAAGAACAGCAGACTACCAAAAGGATGACACAGAGACTAAATCATCTTTTCTCTGTTCCATTTGGATAGTACAACTGGTAGTGACTCATGATTACATAACCTGGAAAAATTACCCTTGAAACACCATAAATGTTCTATCATAGGTACTATGAGGCTGATTAAAGACTGGTGAAAAGGATCACTTAAGCATTAACGAAAGCAAGCACAACCTCATGATTGCTCTAAATGAGTTAACTGACAAGAGAATCTTAGCTCCTTTCTGAGGGAAGTGGATAATGTCTGGTGCTTAAGCCAGGTTCAATTTTTTTTGAAAAGCAGATGCCTCACTGTAAATTGAATTCAGCTATCATAATTTTCAGAATCCATTCGAACTGGAGGTTAGACAAGTTCATCACAAGCAAATGGGTTGCTGCAATCTTAACAACAGTAAGCCAGGAGGATCTGAGCCTTGGCCAACCTGTGAAAATCTTAGGGCCGAAACAGACATCACTTTTAACCCATATGCAGTTGATGAGTCATTTTGGGGAGGAGGCATTTTTACGCTAAAGTAGCTGCAAGGAGCCAATCTGGATGGAGCTGCTCAGGCATGTGAGTACAGGGGATGAGATTCAAAACAATGCTCTATTCCAAGCATAAAGTAAAAATGAAAGTTGTAATTGATGCTGGATAATGGATGCTGTGCTCCACTTTGTTTTATTGTAAGACCATCCAGAGACCATTTGGTAGCAGATGGTATGAATAAGTTTTAAATAAACAAACATAGTTTTATTTATTAAACATAACCTAATTAAAATAATGTCTGTTTTGATCCTTAGCAAGAAGTCATCTAAGTCCCAAATGAAGTTACCCTAAACTTATTCCAGTTCAATTTCTAAGCCTTCAAAGACCTCTTCAGAAATGGACTTTAACCTTTTAACCAGAAATTGCAGGGGATGCCGTATGAGGGGAGACTGAGGGAACTGGGTCTCTTCAGTCTGGAGAAGAGGAGACTCAGAGGGGATCTGTTGGTGACATACAGGTATGTGAGGGGATGTCACATGGAGGTGGGTAGAGACCTGTTCTCCCCTGCAGAGGAAGGCAAGATGCGCTCCAACAGAGCAAAGCTCAGGGAGTCAAGGTTCCATTTGGATGCCAGGAAGCATTTCCTGACAGTCAGGACCCCGAGGGTGTGGAATGGGCTTCCACGAGAGGTCGTTGAGGCCCCATCGATGCGGGTGTTCAAGGATAGGCTGGACGTCCACATGGTGGGCATGTCATGAGTGGAGCTGGCTGGAGCCAGGGGTCAGACTAGATGGCCCGGGAGACCCCTTCTGACTCGCTCCGTTTCTATGTTTCTATACTTAGCGTGGGATCCCAGAGATTCCTTCCCAACTATACCTTACAAAATGATGGTTCTGTCTTCTGTATTTCAGCCACCTTTGTGATGAGCCAAATATTACACACTGCACACGGCCCCTTTATCCATTACTCACTCCTCAATGTAACTATTTTGCATGTAGAAGATCTTAGGTTGAGCCTCTGGTATCTCAACGTAGGGTTCAAAAAACTCCTGCCTTAAACCCTGGAGAGCTGTCACCAGTCAATATTGACTGTACCAGGCCAGAAGGACCAAGCTCTGACTCAATATAAGGAATGCTGTCATGCCTACTTCTTGGACTCAGCCTGCTGGTCACAGACAGTCACAAGGGATCCCAAGCTGAGAAAATTTGATGCTTTATCACTGTGCTGGGGCAGGCTGTTCAGAAAACAAAGACAAGGCTCAGTGAGAAAACAGTAAAGACAGTGGGAGCTGATAGGAAGCAGAGGGACAACAAATCCCAAGATAAGACGACAAAAGGAATCTTTCGACTTATCAGATCTTTAGTGTGCTTCTTGCTCTCTCCCAGAATGCAGCAGAGTAGTTCAGGCATAGAAACCCTGAAGTTACGGAGCCCATTTTGGAAGAAGCATGATGCCTTTTCCTTTAGCATGGCCTATCCAGCAGTATCACTGTCACTAAGGCCTACAGTGATCAATCAAAAAATCCAGGCCAAAAGCACAAGGAAGTCGAGATTCATGGGTGGGTGCTGTTTCTTCCTTCTTTACTGATACGGTTTTTATCTATTTTCTTTTTAGCTCTAAAGGCTACTTGCTGTTTGTAGCAGAAAAGAGTGAAAAATATTTAAGAAATAAGTAAACCTGATGATTATGGTCACTTGTTTCTGGGTGAATGAGGAAAAAGGAAAGCAATGCATTAGGAATGCGTGCAATTATTTAAATAATGAAAAGGGGGAGTGCAAAATTCTTCTCCTTTGACCACTTGAATCCCTAACTAACATTCCTGATCTGGTTACTGAAACTTTGGGAGAAATGTTTATTTTCAAGCAACTTCAATCATGATTGTAACTCTAAGATGTAAACAAAGACACAGACAATGAGAAAAAGAAAAATTCTCAGATTTCTCACTGCATACCTTCTGGATAATTTTTAGCAGAGAACTTAGTACCAGGTGGGGGCAGATTATCAAAAACCTGAAAAGTTATTAAAAAGGGAATGTGGAGAAGGGTGGCTTGCTATGCAGCATAGCAAATATTATTATTATTATAACATTTCTACATTTAAAGAAGTTTCTTCCTTTCTTAACACATCTTAATCAAGTGAACATACTTCAATCTAGACAGGGATGGGGAACCTGTGACTCTTCAGCTTTCATTGGAACTTGACTTCCATCAGCCCTTGCTAGGACAGCCAAAGGTTTGGACAAGAGGAGATGTGGTCCTCCATGATGTCACTGGACTACCAGTTTTCCTGCTGTGATCTAGCCTGAGGCCACTGGCTACTTTTACTGGAGAACTGAAAGTATATCTGTCTTTGTAATAGTACAACTACCAACATGAAACATAGCTTATTTAACTTTTTGTGCCACAATAGAAATATTTTGTACTTTCACACTATTGATTATCTTGTGTGCATCAAGTGGTAGCAATGCCAATTCAGTCCACTTCACTTCCCAGTTGTAACACAAACACAACTTAATGTTGGAAGTCAAACAGAGGGTGAATGCTTCTGCAACACCGCATCCCACCACATCTCCCATTACAGAACCTGAGAACCAGAAAGACTTCTGGGGCTGCTAAGAGTTTAATTAATAAAGTAGTATGGGAAAGCTCCTGCAGCTGAGAACTGGTCAGAAACTAACCTGGGCAGTCCCATTTCTTCTTTCTGTGCTAGAAGAGACAGACAGAGAGCGCATGCACCATAATAGGACCTTCCAGAGTTCACCGGGTAGCTCCCCCAACCCCTCTCCATCCATTTGTGTTCTGGTCCTCCCCCACCACCCCCATTTTCTCTCAGAGAAAACAGAGTGCAGGTATGGCAGCTATTCACATGCTGCTGCTTCCCCCGCAACCAGGGAAGAACAATTTATACTCTTCCTACTAGGTGTACATTGTTTGCAAAGAGGCTATGTCTGAGGCAATTTACTATCACCACAGGAAAGTAGGCAGGTGTCCAATTACAAGCTCAATATGCAGCCATTCAGGAGAGAGCACCACTCTTCAATGCTAAATCCCAAGGAAGTGACCCTGCTGTTGTTCACATACCTTGGTCTCCACCTAGCAATGGCAAATTCATGTCCTGGGAGGGATGGAGAAGCACGGATGATGATGCTTGTGAAGATCCTGGAGAAGGTTCCTCAGAAGCCACTTTCAGTGGACTCTTGGTGGGGCTGCAGACTGCAGAGCTCTCTTCAGGACACAGGAACACATCAATGGGGCCCTGAGTGCTTTTCACAGCAATTTGGAATGCCTAGAAAAGACAAAGAGGTGAGCAGATTAGGAGATACTTAGAAGTCAGCACAGCTTTCCACAGTGATGATTCTCCTGACCTTTTGGTTCTGAAAGACAGCTTGCTCACAACATTTAGAAAATGACTGTTGAATCAAACTTTGGACACTCCCTAGGATTAGTTCACTTTTTTGCAGGTTACTGAACCCTAATTCTAGCACTGACATGAGGAACTAATCATAGCAGCCTCTGAGACTCATGGCTTGTTTCCTGTGCTTGGGTCACTGACTGCCCATGAAGCTGCCGACACCTTGTTTGCTATTGTTCTGTGCTCCCAAGAGGGACTCTGCTGGTTAGCCTTTGAGAGGCTGGTGGGCAGAGGTTTGATATTTATTATACCTTTTTCTCACATTACACAGTAAATTTTCTTCTGGGAGAATTTAACAAGCAAGGAAATTATCTGGAATTTGCTGGTTTATTTCTTATATTTATATCAAATTTTTCTTACAACAAACTCAAAACAGCTTACATCATGCTCCTCCTGCTGCTTTCAATCTTATCTCCACAACCGCAGCCCTGTAAGGCAGGTTCAGCTGAGAGTCTGTGACTAGCCCAAAGTCACCCAGTTGGCTCCAGGGCCAAGTCCTATGCCCTTAACCGCTACACCATGCTGGCTTTCCACTGTTCAAAACACTGCTTGCTTGTTTGCTCATACAGCAAATGAGAGGGATGCTGCTCCTTTCCTGTGCATTCTTGTGCCTTTTGCCAAACAGTGGTATGTGAACCAAGAAAGGCCTCCTAGGACCTGTGCAAACATCAAAACTAGCTGAAAAACAGAGGCTCCTGCATCACCACAGCTCTAACTGGGAGGTAAGTACCTTCGTTGCAGGGGCTAAACCTGAGTAGCATCAGTTTCACCTGCACTATATCAGTGGCTTGCTTTACAATTGCCTTTGTTCTGCCAGACACAGAGCAGTGCAAAGGGTGGTTATTTTAAAAAGCCATAACACGTTCGCTTGGGAAAGCTTAGTAGGTAGATCACCATCTAATGTGAGAGAAGCTGGCAACCATAAATTTTTGTGAACCATCTAGAGAGCTTTGGCTACGGGGATGTATAGAAATTTAACAAACAAGCAAACAAGCAAAATATGGGTCAATCCTGACCCCTGAGAAATGCAGCTGGCTCAGTTGCATGATCCATTTAATGTTGCCTAATAAACTCATTTACTGGGCATTTGCTTTCTGTACAATTATTAAAAAAAGATACATTGACTGGAAATGATTTTAAGTGATTCATGACAGACTACAGCTGGATCAGTCACGATTTACTTGCCCAGAACCCCTTCTGCATAAGGGATGCTTGCACAGCCAGCAGGCTTGGGCTTCTAGAAGCACGGTTGTGGAAGGCACTCTTTACGTACTGGCCTTACGTGGCAGCACAATACTGGGAACCAGGAACTGTTACCTCTGCTGGATCAGAGACTTGCATTTGTGTCTCCTGGGGGGCTTTGATCACCATCACCAGCTGTTCTGAAGGGTCTGCAATGCTGCGCAGGTCTTGGCAAGACACATAAGCTGAAGTGTGTTCAGTCAAGTTTTGCCAATAGAAGGCGACGCACCAAGACATTAAGCTACAATCATACATGTCTAGTTCATACATATAGTAAGCTACATGCCATACATGTCTAAAAACTAGCATTTTATCATTAACAGTCGCTCTTTTTGTTTTTATATAATGTTATGGAATTTGTTATTGTTTTATTGTTTTTAATTGTATGAGTTGTGAGCCGTCCTGATGTGGTGACAGCATATAAAAGTTTTAAATAAATAAATAAAATAAATAGTTACTGGGCTCAAATTGCTAGGACTTGGGAAGAAGAGATACAAACCTCTGCCACTGCTCCCTCAAGCACAGAAGATGCCTTATACTTAAGCTGTCCATCATTGTGGGGAAGAGGGAAAATAAACACACTGCTTACTATGAAATGGCATGCATACATTAAAAGTGGACTCAAGAACCTTTGGAGTTGCAAACAGGCTCACACTTCAAGTTCAAAATGATAAACACTTACCACCTATCAATCACCTAAAAATCTTACTGTGCTCATTACATTTGAATATACATCCATAATCCTCTTTCTCTCTGGATGCTTATTTAGGTAGATGGCCTGTTTATGCTAATATATATATTTGAAATAGAAGTGCCAAATCTTTCTCTCTCGATCTTTCTTTAATAGTATTGTGAACCATTATTGTGAATAAACATGTTTTTTGTCAGTTTTCCTTCCAGCTCCCCTTCTCCATTGTTTTTTCCCTTTTGCCTTTTATTTCTGGTAGCTTTTTGGTGTTGAATGTAATACTTTTCTCTTTTCTGTCCTGGGGTTCAATTTTCTTTTCCACACCTTTCTAGGTACTATCCAGGTCAGGATGGACAAGAAGTGGCTCTTCAGATGTTTTAGTCTACAGCTCCTGTTATCCTTCACCATTGGCTATGTTAGAAAGGACTGATTGGGGACCAAAATATCTGGATGACCATAAGTTGCCCCCCTTTGATCCACTTGATTCTAAATTGCCTCAAGCCCACCAAACTGACCCTGGGTGACATGGGGGTTGAAAAGACCAACTCAACCAACCCTGTCAGGTGTCTTTATGGAAGGACAAATAAACATGCATAAAGCATGGAAGACAGGTAGTGCGACTGCCACAGAGGGCAGAATTCAGCATCTTTGATCAGGAACAGGCTCAGCTCCAGAGCTGCCACACAAAAACAAGAAACACCTGACTTACTCATCTCCTCATACACACACGCCTCTCCATTGAGAAAAAACAGTCTAAACCAGCAAAGAGGTAGTGATTTTCCATCAGCTTACAGGGTGGGGAAGTACAAATTAAACCACCAACACCCAGTCCTGGAATGTCAGGAGTGTTGTTATCATTTGGAAGACAGCACTTTGCTGTTCCTGGCTAACACTGCAGATTTATAGCTATGAACTCATGAAAACACCCAATCCCCCTTTCTATCTTCAAGAGAAGGATATTGCTTGTTCTCAGGGTCCTCGGTAAGGAGTTTGAATTGTGTTGTACACATTTGGATGAGGTTGTCCAGTTGCTGTTCTGCTGCTTGAAGATCCTGGAGTTCCTTCACCAACCCCTGGTTCTTGCTGGTGCCCCCTACAGCAGACCGGCTACCCCTAGGAAACAGAGCAAGTCTTTCATGACTGTTAGTGGCTTGGTGACTCCTAGCACCACGGTATTTATTCAAGAAAACCAAACTGCATTTTTGCATGCTTCCACGTTCTCAAAATTAATCCAGCACATCTAGGTCAGTCATTTTACAGGTAGAATCTGCAACAAAACGTTGCAGCTTGGAGTTGTAGATGTTGAACATTCCAGCCACTTTGTCCCACAATAATCTGAGAATGCTCCTGCCTCTGCCCCTTAGAATTTTCTCCAGAACACTTTCTATAATTTGGGGGAACCTTGGGGGTCCCCATACCTGCCAATATGTCCCCTTTGTGTATGGGTAGGGCCAGTTAGGTGATATAAGTGACTCATAAGCTGAACATCAGAAATGATGGAGTAGCAACAGCTAAGCCATTTTGTACCAACACTGAAGATTTAGTCATTGTAGATGGAAATAGAGATTTATCATCCAAAGGGTAGCCAAGAGTGGTAAATTCCAGGTAACTACATGTTAAGAGTACAAATGAGCAGCCTAAAACAAAGCAGAGAACCACTTAAGAGAACCTCTGCCAACCTGGTGCCCTCCAGATGGTTTGAACATCAGCATCAATCAGCCCTAGCTTAACAGGGCCAAGGATCTGTAATGACAGAAGTGGAAGACCGAAACACCTGGGGGGCCATCAGGTTAGGGAAGGATAGGTTGAAGTATCTATGGAGCAAGCTTTCACATATGCTGGTTGTTCTGTTTCCAACTCAACAGTACATTACTAAGCACTTAGTAAATGCACAGGCATGGGTTCAGTCTGTGGCATACTGACATGTACCAAATCTTGGGAACAGAATCTTCATTCAGAATCTACTTGCTCTCCCAAAACCCTGGACCTGGGACTGCTTACCAGCAGCACTTAGTCCGAGTTAAGTTGGGAGGCACAGGAGCATCGCTCTGGCAAACATAGCTTTCTTTCATCATGCAGGACAGACCACTGTGCAAATGTTTGTTTCCTGGGATGAAGCTGAAGTGTTTGCCCATCACCTGACAAATAGGAAAACAGGCCCTTGCAAAGACAGTAAAGCCCTGCAGTCTTTACAGAGGCCTGTCGCATCTCTTTAAAAATCACTGAAGTTGTAATGAGCAGGTACCCCAAACATAGGAAGCTCCCTTATACTGAGCCAGAACATGCGTCCGTCTAGCCTAACATTGTCAACACTGGCAGTCGTTTTCCAGGGTTTCAGGCTAGATGCTTTCCTAGCCCTACCTTGAGATGCCAGGGATTGATCCTGGGACCTTCTTCATGCAAAGCACGTGCTGGATCACTGAGTTACACAAGATGTTGCAATTTCAAGTGGCCTCCCAAAAGCAGACAGCTACACAACAGAGTGAGGATGAACCGGTGAGTCACTGGTGGATAAGTATCAGCAATTTTGTAGCTCTGCTGGGAGACAGGGCTGCTGCAGGGAAACATGGGCATGCTCTGCTCTCTCCATGTGGCAAGTTTCACTCTCAGCACAGCTACAAGATCTTGCCTACATCTCTGTTACCTCCCAAGGGAACTCCAACACTAGCTGCCATTCACAGGGAAGCTTCTGCAAGCCATCTGTGACAAGCTTAACCTGGGGAGGATTTCTACCACTCCTGCTCATGAAGCAGGTCTGTTCTGTATGCTACCGTTCCTGCACCTCAGATCATCTCCACATCAGGAAAAAGATGTGTATATTGTAATGTACAATGAGCAGGCCACATCACTTTTCTATTGCACATGGCATGAATCAGGCACCCACGGTCTGCATTAGTTGTCCAACCAATAGAAAATAACATGTTTGTGCCACCCTTCATTTTTAATTATATCCCACCTTCCTTCCGTTGTGGAACTTGATGTGGCTACAAGTGATTCCCAGGTGGTCTCTCCTCCAAGCGCCAACCAGACCAAGACCTGCTTGGCTTCAGCAGGATGGCTGCTTCGTGTGTTTGCATATTATATAGAACCTGGGACCATATGAGAAAATATACTTGCTTTCTTGTAAGATCATAACCTCTGTGCAGGAAAGAATGCAGCAAAAGCAACACAGAGAAGCAAGTTTCCAGTTCTTAAGGGTTCAAAGAGAGGCTTGACAGCACAATCTTAAGTGTGTTTATTCAGAAGCAGTTTGCTCAATGGAGTTTGTGGGGATCCTATGCATTCGTACTTGTGCATATACCACGCTTGAGATTTGCTGTTCAATGAGCAGGCTTAAGATTGCATTGTTAGAGCAGGATGTTTGTAAAGGCTAGTGAAACCTCAGAAACACAGATGGAGGGGAAGGTATATGCACACTAACCAGCAGGATTCCCGGGGGTTCAGGAAAGGGGCTTTCCTTACCTGGAAAGCTTTTTGCCCCTCCCTGTGACAAGCAGAAAATCTTAAACATGCTTTAAAAGTGCATGTAAATTTAGTTTGTTAAATGGTAGACTTCAGCTTTCCTGGCATCAAGGATTCAAACTCCTGATGCAGAGTTTAAAAAAAGCAAGCAGTATGTATATAGCACTGGCCATAAGATTCGCTTGTGGAGCAGCACACGTGCATTACAGCTGAAACAAGAGAAGCTGCATTCAGCCCAGTGTAGTTATCATGCCTATTCTCTATTTTGTTCTAACCAAGGATTGTTGCATTAAAGTATTCATTCAGTGCAACACAGAAAGCCACACCCATGCCCATCTTCCTTTCATACAGTTGGAAATGGGATGCAACGGTTTCTTTCTCTTAACAGATACATTCCAAAACAATAACCAGGCAAGTTTCTCATTGCTAACACCAAAACTTGGTTACTTCTAAACTCCAAGAGTAGGCCAGAAAGACACTGGGCTATGGGACAGCATACAAACACAAGAAAGAAGGAGCAGTTCAACAGCCAGCACAACCCAATTGGTACAACCAACCTCTTGCCATCATAGGAATTAGACAAACAAGGCAAGTGACATCTACTTACAGCCACTGGATATGGTTCTTGGACTTCTTCGTGATCAGCTGGATGCCCTCCAGAACATTAGTGATGTCATAGATCCGCCTCTTTTGTACCTTCAGCACTTCTGCAGCCCAGTTGAGATCCACAACTCCATCAGGGGATTGGCTCAGCAGCTCCAGGAAACGCTTGGTAGTCAGATTCAGAGAGGTTTCATAGCGGGATTTCTCCCCAGGAGACTTGACCCCTAGAGAACCAACAAGGGCTTCAATACAACTAGCAATGTTGCTGAAGTTCATAAAGTACTGCCTCAGGTTGCCAACCTGCTCAGCTTGCAATGTCTGGCTACTTCAAGATCAAGTGGCATGGGTGAGTGTTGCTCTTCTTTGGTTCAGAATTTATATCAGGGTTGAGCAGCAGGCAGCTTGCAGTCCGCACTGCACTGAGAATAAAAGCATGGCAATTTAGTGGCCTGTATCACTACAGGGGTCAGATTTAGTGGTAGAACAAGCTAAATGCCACCCAGTCAATGCTCCAAAAAAGTCTGCCACCAATTCTTTCCATGGTGCCCTCTGGAGTGCAGTCTGTAAGGGGAGAAAATGGCTTCCAGATCCCCAAAGTTGTCCATTCCCGATTTAAACTGAGCACCTGCTACCTCCCTGCTGCCCTGAATGCTCAAGCGCTATCTTAGGTACCAGGAAGGGAGAGAGAATGGAGAATACTCAAGAGGGGACTCCAACAGGACTTCCCTAGTGCCCCATGGAAGGCTAGGGTAGACTACAGGGTCTCATGATCGCTTACTATGCATTTGATCATAATGGAAAGGTAGTATTACAGTTCTGGAACTGTGCTCAGAAAACCCAAGCAAGAAGCAGATGGCTTGACAACTGCGTGAACAAACAACTTGTATTTGCCAACCCAAATCTGGATTGTGCAGAGGGAATTTACCTAAGTGGCAAGGAAAGGTGCCCAGATTTTTGAATCCAATGCATGCTTATCCAACTTTTTTGCCTCTTTCCTTTGCTAGGGAATATATTAGGTAAAGCAGGCAAAAAGCTGTACAGCACACTTCAGCACCCACCAATTTCTGAAAGTTCAACCAGTTCTAGGGACTGATTATTTTACAAGAACTTGAATTTACTCAGCAAGAAAGCTCGGATTTCTAAGATGATGCCTTCTGTACACAAAACAAGTCTTGACAATTTATAAAAACCCTAAAAATAAATCACTGTTTCATGTTACTGTAAATGATGTGCAAAGCAGCATAATCACACAATACAAGGCATTCTACACAGCTGTGGCTCATGCAGCTTTTCAGGTCCCTCAATGTCTGCTAGATTTTTAATCCAGATGAACTACCAGTTGCCTCCAAGTCTGCTGAATGAGAGAGAGATGCATGTCTGTTGCTTCAGACTGGGTACCTGCGTGTTTGAAAAGGTCTGAAGCAGTGACATCCATGTACTTTGCAGCGTTCTCTGCTAAGGGCTCTGAATCTCCACTCCAGAGACCATGACACTATGGCAGAAGCTGGTGATCCATCAACACACCCTTCCACTACCCACTGCAGCCTGCAGATATCTGGCTTCTAGAAGTCGAGGCACATTTTCACGTGAGAACATAGAAAATCCCCAAGGCCAATTGCCACCGGGGATCAAAAGCAAGCAGACTGAAGAAGCATGCTCGGAGATTCCCCACTACAGCAGCTACTGCCTGCCTGGAGATTCCCTGTTTCTAGGCATCTGAATGCTCTATCAGCTGAGAAACGTTGCTTTACTTAGCCGCTAAGACAAGGAACCCTGAAAACACCAAAGAGAAATTAAAACATGAGGGTTCCCTACTGCCCACCAGCACCTTTGACAGGGTTTCTCGCTTTTCCTTGGGGTGGTTGGACACTCTCTGCAATATACTGGTGGTCGGTCTCCAGGTTCAGCTTCCGTTTTACCTGGAAAAGGGGCAGGGAGAGAGAGATTTGTAAAGGTCACTGGACTGCATCAGCACTAATTCAGCTCTGTAAGTGACACAGAAAGTTCACAGAAAGTTCCAGTAGCTTAGCAAAACAGATTAGATCTAGTCTGATGCAGATTTTCATAGGCTCCTCCATCAGATGCAGGAATATCAACACAGCATTCTCTTCAAAGGCAGAGCTGTTCGCTTCTTCCAAGCAAAATAATGCAAAAGGCATGGTACAATAGACAGGCCAATGTAGCTATAGTAACAATACTGGCACTACTGGCCTTGGACTGGAGAGATCTGGGTTTCATTCCTGACTCAGCCATGAAGTTCACTTAGTGATCTTGAAATATTCATATAAGCTCAGTCCAACCAACCTCAAAAGTTTATTGTGAGGATAAACTGGGGAAGGGAGGATTCCATGTTTGCCATCCTAAATTCCTTGCAGGAAGGTTATGATATCAAGAGTGAAAGGAAGTCTGTAGGTCCTCAAATCCAACCCCCTACTTGACATAGGAAATCTAAATCTAGAGCATATCAGTGGGTGGATTCTTCAATGAGGAAGAGTCCAAAATCCATTTAGATAATGGGTTCCAATGACAATTTGTTCTTCCTGTCAAGACATTTCTCCTTAAAGTCAACCAAAATTTATCTTCCTGTAACTTAAGCCCATTGAATCCAGGCCAGTCCTGTGGGGCAGCAGAAAACAAGTTTGTGCCCTCTTCTGTATGACAGTCCTTCAGATATTTAAAGAGTGCTGTTATGCTGCCACCACAAACTCAGTCTTCTAAGTACAGAAATTAAAATAAAACAACATCAGAGTGATAGAGCTGCCATGAGACAAAGTTATGTGACCAAATCTACAAGGAATTCTGAGAAATTACTGTTACCATGAGCAGATTACTACAACTGAAATTGCTAGTTTATTCCTTGACACAAAGTTTACTTACCAAAGAATTCCATTCTCAAAAAGGCTAGCTGCTCTTATATAGGTAAGGGAGAACCCAGGAAGTTGACACAACCATTTACTGCTCAAAAAGTCCTCATGTTGCTGGCTTGTTATCAGATGGTATTTTGACTCTGTTTCCTATACAACTTCATTTGCATAGAATGAAATAATGTATCCTGAAGTCTCATGTAAACTGTAATTCCAATATGATTATTGTGCATGAGCATATAGCGGAATGGTGGTTCTAGCACAGTGTCAGGTGACTGCAAATTTCAGTGATACCCCAATGCTCATTGCCAACAATTGCTAAAGCTTGAAACTCTGGTAACCTCTTGCCTGAAGAGCATAGGGAATATGAGAGAGAGGGATATCTGTCAGAAAGACCCTAAATGCTGGATTTGGGCAATCGCAACCCCATCACCCATTGGAAAGTTCTTCAGACAGCAACGCTCCATGAGGCTAGTCATCTAGGGACACAGTGCAAAGAGCCAGAAACTTTGGAACAAGAAGAACTCCACTAGGGACAACTGCAATATAGTGGCTCAAAAATCCCACTTGGAGAACTATCCGCGCAGAAATTGATTTGGGTGGGATGTTCAATAAAGGAAAGAGATAACGCTCCTACCCATGCGAGCTGTTTAAGAAATGAAGACTAGAGATCAGCAAGTAGAGAAAGTGGTAGGGCAGATGGTTTCACAGACAATCCAAGGTTTTAATAATCCAAAGTGATATAACTAACAGGCAACGTGCTTTTGCAGAATTTCTGGGACCTAGTTCAACAAATAATGTACTACGATAAGGTTAAATTTCACTTTGTCAGCATGTCTCCCCCCCACCCATCAAATGATTAGAGATAGAATTTGGTCAGAAGGGAAGACCTACAGTGGATGACCACTACAAAGATATAACTGGATCCATGAAGCAGGAGCAGGTAGAAAGTAGACCAAAAAAAGGATCAACATAGAAAGTGGCAAATTGGCACATTAGAGCAAAACAGAATGCTAACCTTCAGTCATCCATAATTTCTCCTTGCCTTTCACACCAACTTTGATTTTGTTTATAACGTTTCCCACACTGGTCTCTTCAAGCCCAATTTCTCCCAGGTCACTGCGGTGTAAGAACCCATCCTCAGCTACATCCATCCACAAAGACCGCAGCACATGGCCAACTGGGGAGCAAAGCAACACTAGCCTGAAAACGCATTTCTTCAAAGATGTTTTTGCTTCTTCTGGAACAACATAGGAACATGCCCACTGCTGGAATAGCTTTGGGACTGCGAGTGAGCAAGGCCTGATGGCCACATATCTTAAAAAATAAAATATTGTACAGATTATCTGCATAGCAAGTAAAATATATTAGGCACTGAATAAAACGTTTCCCTACCTGAGGAAGACCTACCATTTTATTCTATATGCATTCTCTTGGTGGATCTTAAACAGAGCATTTTAAAACTACTGAAAAAGATGGTCCATTAAAAACACTCCAAGGTAAACCACTGGACCTGAGGCCCTAGATTGCAGGTATTTCCTGCAGTAAATTGAAACATGAACCCAGCATAAGTTAAGAACTCTCTGCATTGTTGTAAAACCAGAATTTCTAGGGGCCCTGGATAAAAAAACAATGGCAATTAAACCAGTTTAGATTCGTAGCGTAGACATGCCCTATGGATGATTCTCGCAAGTGATGCCAAGATTGCCTGTTGAATGGGGGTGAGGGCTGCAACTAGTGAATATAGTTAATGGAGCATACAGTGCACAAGGCTATCATTTTTAATCTAGTTCTGTGAAATATTGCTATTTAATGTGGACAAGGTGTTCAGTCTCTTAAGTGTGTTTTCCTGTTCCTGTCAACAGAGGCACATTTATGCTACAACGAAAGGTTGCATCCAGGTTATCCCATCCTGGTGCAATGGGTATGCAATTTCTAGCAGGGCAGAAAGGCTGCAAACATGCACAGCCCTGCATCATCATCATCACACTGGCATGCAAAGTCTCAAAAGATTTAGAGATCCCAAACCATTAGATCACACCTTTGAAGGTGTGAGAGCATCTGAAGAGTAAATGAGCTTCATGTAAGAGTAGGCAAGCAATGTTATACATGATTACATGAAGTCCCAATGACCTTGCACTGAGCAATAGTATGAGCATGCGCTAAACATGTGCGCATGTTTAGGAGACCTGTGCCTCCTTAATCCTAGATATGCACATTCTTCAAACGGACTCATCGGCTCAGCATTCTCCTCCACAGGAAAGAGAGGTCCCATGCTGTTGTTTTTTAAGGTGTCTCTGAGGACAGCTTCTGGTGCTACCAGACAAAGATTGTATTTCCATCTTTAATAGATGTTCTGCAGTGAGAAAAAAAGATGGAAGTGATGTTAGGAAAATGTGGGAGAGTTTTAAATTGAAAATGATACCGTGGAATTGCCTGTAAACTTTTGTGAATGGGACAGGGAGATTGTACTATAAAGCTTCATGGGGATATGCCTGTATTCAACCAACAACAGAAGTGGAATTTGGTCCAATGAATCAATTCAATACACGTTTGGTTGCATCTCTGGTAAGCTGCCTGGCAACTCCACTTCCTGAGCCAGGTGAGGTACATGATGAAGCAAAGAATTTCAGAATAAGCTCATACTGATCTCCACAGCAAACCCACTCTAAAGATGGAAGACAAGACAGTTGTGCAATTCTGCCTTGAACAAAACTGGAAAATTCTCAGACATCTATTGATCCAGGGTTCTAGAAAAATCAAATACAGCAACTAAACACCTGAACCTAGTCTACAGCCTACCAGGTAGGTGTTAGTGCTCCCAAACATCAAGCCAGTAACTTGGATTTTTTTTTTAAAAGATTTAGTTTGAAAACCTTTAAAATTTTAACTCTCCTTTCCTTGCTTTCCAAATGACAGGCCCCTTATCTGCCAGGAATTAAGCAAACCAGGTTCTGGGGAGCTGGCATCGCAGGTCATGCCCTCAGACCCGCCCCACGGCTTGCACACAGCAATGCTAACAGGATGGGGAAGCTAGACATCTTCAGCTCCTTCCCTGAACAACAGGCACCCCAATGAGACAACACAAAGTGAAAGCTCATTACAGATTCCTGACCCAAACAGTAGACCCTACAGTTAAGACAAAGAATTGACTGTAAAGCAGCCGCCTACTGCAGGCCCCTCAACAGAAAGGGCTTCTGTGGGAGGAGGACGTCAAACTAGCAGAAAGCTTTGTGAGCATCACTTCTGCTCTGCCTGCTGAGAAAGCGCAAGGAGGCTTGCTACCCTGGTCCATCAAACCCCCTGGACTGGGAAACTCCAACAATGGCTTTGGTTTTCCAAAAGTGGGCAGTCAGGAAGAAGATTCCACACAATATAGCAAAGGACAGTAATAGCTCCATATTTTATTTGCAGCATTTATCATCTGCAAGATGAGAGCTGCCAACTCCTAGCATTTCCTAGTTAGCTGGGGAATGCTGGCAATTGCAAGATATTTTTCTGTCTAAACATGCAAAGGATTGTACCCTTAAAGTATCCAAATCCCACTTGCTGTCTTCAATATGCCAGTCTGATTGAAAAGGCAGCGAAAGTGCCTATATTTGCAATCCTTAAATTGGGGAAGACTTCTCTCTAAGGTAATTCTTATAACCAGCAGACTAGGAGAAATGCTGTTCCTTTATACATTCTTGAAGAGCAGGCATATATTCAGTAGGGATAGCATTTCATGTAGCAACAGAAAAGCTTTGTTTGTTGAATGTTAAAGCATGCTAAGGATAACCAATTTAAGCTGAGTGGTGCTAAGACAAGTACCTTAATGGGTCACCCTGGCCCTCCTCTACCACTTTCTTCCACTTGTATATTATTGTAGGGATGGGCAGACAGGAGGCCTCCACATGCTTTGGACTTCCAGCATTCCAGCCATGTGGAAAGGGACTTCTGCAGCATGCATATTTGAATTTCCAAACAATTGCAGATCTACCTTCTGCCCATCCCTGTGCTACTGCTTGGAGGAAGCAGTGAGACCATGTCTTCTGACATTCTGCACTCCACCACTCACCTTCTCCATTGCTTATGCCTGTGAAGCCCATGTAAAGTTCCATGACCCTCAGTCAAGTGGAACCTCTCATGGGTGCAACTTTAAAAATGCAAGCTGCTTGCTGAAGATGTTACTCTGAACATGAGGATCTCAGAGGTGAGTGCTGATAGCCATGGCCACTATCTCTCCTCCACACATGAGCACACATGTGAAAGAGAGTGAATAAAGAACATTTCCTCCAACTTTGCCAAATGATGCTCCTACATTTGGTCAAAAGCATGCATGTGAGGTCCTTTTTTCTCCTTTGGTTTCAAATACCTAGGACTTCATCTTAAATGAAGTCAGGCCTTTGCTCCATCTAGCACAACAGTGTCAATACTGATTGGTAGTAGCTCTCCAGGGTTTCAGTAAAGGCTCTTTCCTAGGATTACCAAGAGATGCAGGCAAATGAACTTGAAACCTTTCACATGCAGAGTAACAGCATAAGAAAGCCATGCTGGGTCAGACCAATGGTCTATCCAGTCCATCACTCTGCTCACAGTAGCAAGCCAGCTGCATACAGGATCCCTCCAGCAGGATAGCTGCAAGACCTCCAACTGCTGAAGCTCCTCAGTAACTGCAGCATACCAGCATGTCACCTCTGGTAAAGGAGATAGCACATAGCCAGCAAAGCTAGCAGCTACTGATAGCTTCCTTCTCCTCCTCCTCCATGAATTTGTCCAGTCCCTTTTTATTTTCTTAACAGTGAGCTTTGGCATTTTCCTACGGACCTCCTGATTTTTATCAACATCTCCGTGCCTGCTAGAATTGATGTACTAAACATGCAATATATATAATTTATAATAGTATATATACTATAGCAACTGATGCAGAACACATGCAGTAGTTCTCACTAGTGCTATGCATAAGTGATCACTTGTACACGTTATGGACAATGCTATGAACAGATCATCTTAGCTTTAAAGGAAGCAAACACTGGCCCATTCACATTTAACCTAACTTCTCTCAGCTGTCTCCTAAGCACCCACAGATGTAACAGTAGCTTGCAGTTCAAATGCCTAAAAGCAAATTGTATTTATCAGTGTGTTATTACACCAATAACTTGTTCTTCCTCCCTCCAATTCAATTTGAAAAAAATGTCTATTTTCTTGGGGGCAAGGAAATCAAGTCACAATATTATAGATCACAATAAATCACACCTCTCTCTGCCAATATACCCCTCAGTAATAACTCACAGTATACCCAGGGTTAAGTTGTTAGCCACATGTTTGAAGCTCAGCTCCTGCATACGTGTCAGCTCATAGGCTCCTCATGTGAATAGACCTGGGGCAGAAGATCTTTTGCCTTCTCCCTGGCTCAAAGCAGCTAGCCGGATATGACAGAAGTGAGTTATGTTGTTGCTGCCACTTGCTTCCTCTGCCTCCCATAGCAAGCTTTTTATCTCGTTTTTCCTTCTGCAGCTCTTTTTGTGCAATATTCTGCTTGAGACACTGCATACCTTGAGGTGTGCAAAAAGCAATGTGCATAACACAACCAAAGCCAAACCTGCACTTTGTTAGACTAAGAACAAATTGCACAGAACCCAGGCCTTAACATCCTGTAACAGGAAGTGAAGCTGCCTCATTAACATTTGCAGGCCACTGTTCCAAAAAGAAAGAGGAGTCCATCTATTGCTATTGAGCTAGATTTGCAATCATATAGAGAAGAATTATAACTATCTAGGTCAGACAGGGCAGTCTTGCAGAATTCAGTGCTACAGTGTAACATTTTGAGGACTAGAACTTCTAGTTAATCATTTCTTTGTATGTTTTCAGGAGCACTCTCTTTGCCCTTCTTGCATGCTTGTTACATATGCCACGTTTAAGAAGCACTATTTCAGCCCCAGCTTAGAAACTCTCCCAACATCCCTCCTGTAATTATAGGCACCAAAGAAGCCTTTACAAAGCCACGTTTTTGACAACAAATTAAAAAGCAGAAACTATATCAGCTCACACATATAACTGAATGAATGTCCTTCTTTCTAAGCATCTACCTGGGCCTTAGAAATCCAGAGTGAATCTGCTCCTAACACAATTACTCTTCTATTACTTTGTTTGTCCTAACAATGCCAGGTGGCTTATTCTGGCAAAATGAACAAGTATATTCCTATGAAGCAGCAGAGGGAGGATCTGAGAAACTGACCATTTATTTGCCACATATGGGTTAAAAATAGCAACACTCTTCATATTTAAGATGATTATAAGATGTTGCATTATCCAGAAGAAAAAAGAATTTTCACTTTTCTGGTGTTCACCTTTGCACCTTGTCCCCTTGCCTTCCTGAAGGCTGCTCAGGAGCTGCTGCAGGATTTAGTGCTAAACAAAAGGCCAAACACTTTGTCAAGCATTAAATAATGCACAATACAGCATCGTGGAACACGCATAAACATTAATTAGGCACACGTGACACTTTTTACACATAAATCAAGCAGCACGTTTCGTTGCTGGCCAAGCTCCTGGCTTCCTGGCAGTCAACAACAGGAAAATAAAGCGGTGCCATTACCGGCGGCCGTTCCAGAGCAGGCCTCTGCGTTGCTGACTGCAATCTGGCGGGCTGTGGCGTGGCGAAGAGCAGCAGTTCCGTGTCGTTCTGTCCTTCGGCCGTGGGGAGCTGGTCTGGGGTGGAAATGATCACGATCTGCTGTTCCATCACATGGATGGCCTCTGCTCCCCTCAGGAGGGCTTCCAGGTCCGCCACATTCTGGGTCACTTCCAGACCCTCCAGAGACATGGTACAAAGCGCTGGGGCTCACATGCCCGAAAACTTGGGAGAAGAGTGGGGTGGGGGAAGCCTTGATTTTGCCCCCCTCCTCCTCACCCCCCACACACCGTAGGGAATCGGAGATCTTCTCCGTCTTGATCCCCTCCTGGGAATCAGAGCCGTATCAGCGGGCCAGTGCCATCGTCCTGGAGGCTGGGGATACAGGATGGCAGCGGCTGGTCGCCAGGAACACGCCCCATCCTCTTTAAGAGCAGAGGCCCGGGAAATGGTGTCCCGCCGAGGAGCAACAAGCCAGGGCCGAGCGTTGGAAGGAAGCAGCCAGGCCGAGAAGGGAAACAACGCAGGCTGCTTTCCAGGTCATCTGCGGGCCCCTAGGAAAACCCCGATGGCCGCTCGATGGAAAGGGAGAGGAAGGGTGGTGGTGACAGGCGCCGGCACAGATCAGGGCTCCCTTCCGCCCACGCTCTCCGTGTCAGTGTCGACTTCCTCGCTGCCCCGCTTCGTTCGGATCTCTCCTGGGCAGATCCACCTAATAAGCTCGGCTCCTCTTCTCGCCGTTCCTACCACTTCGCCCCGATGCCTCTGCCCCGGCGCATTCAGCCAAGCCCCTTTTCAGCTGCTCGCGCTCGGCTCAGGCACTGTTATTGTTCCCAGCTGGTCCCGGCCTCGCACACGTTTGCGCGCCAAATCCTTTTTGCCGCGAAAGCAGCACGAGCAGGCAGCCGTGCTTCCCATTGGCCAGCCCGGGCGCATCAACATTCGGCTTCGGAGGGAAGGCGCTGCTCCATTGGTCGTCCGGCCTAGATTGATACATGACGCCGCCGTTCCATTGGCTACGATCGGGCGGCCGCCGGAGCGCCGTGGTGACGGCCCAAACGTTCTGACAGCCGCCCAATGGCGGCGACCTGACTTGCGGAAGGGGGAACGCTGCCTGGCCAATCGGAGGGGAGGTGCTGGGAGGACGCTGCGGAGGGTGGGCCTTTGTGGGAGGTGAGGCGGAGCCGTGATTATGGCTCGGGGAATGTAGATCGCTGCATCTCGGGGTGCCCTGGCCGTGTCTCGTAGGTTTGTTGTATCCTTACCATTGCCTTGCGCACTTCAGCTCCACGTACGTTCTTTCAGCATAATGGCTCCTACCCTGGCCCCAAACAAATGTATTCACAACTAAGCCCCCTGTGCTCCGCGTACACGTTGTCCTGCCAATGCCCGCTCCGTTAGAAGCCAGCTCCGTTTCCTACCGTAGTACTTCTAAGGAAGGGTGAATAGTTCTGGACAGTTTTGATTTCCCCAAATGGGAGAGGAACGGGGCAAAGCGTGCTTGCAAAATCTTGGTTCTCTCGGTTTTGCCTCGGGATCCCCAATATGAGACGATTAGTTATGATTAGGTAAAGGTTGACAGAAATCAAAAGGCGTTTTGCATATGCTCGAAGATGGTCTGCTAAAGATTTAATTCATCTGGCTCAAGCCTCTGTCCTGCCAGTGAAGATTTTTGAGTGAATACTTTTGTTGAATGGACCTCTTGCACAACCTCTTACCCCTCGTCCCCTACGGAAATCAAGTTTAACTCGGGGTGCACAACATTTCGGCTCCAAGGGCCATGTGATGCTGGCACATGTGTGCAAGCGCCCATCTGTAAGCATGTGCATGAAAGTACATACATATCCCAGCAATCCTGATGCAGCTTGTTCTTACCTTACTGCTTGCAGTGACAGCACAACAGTCTGTTTCTCAGAGAAGGAGTGAAGAGTGCAGATGGGGAAACTGGCAAGGGAATGCATGGAGGATAAAACTCCTTTGGGGCCAGAGTAAAGGCCTTGCTAGGTCAGGTTGTGCACTCTTTTGTGGCCAGGGATGAAATACGGCACACATACATTCACCACATTTTCTATACCTAATTTTCATATGTTTTGAGCTTCTAAAACAGGAAAAGGTATAAGTTCAAAGACATTACCTTAAGATATCATAAAGTCTCACACATTTTTCAATCCCCTCTTTAATCCCTAGTATTTACAGGGAGAGAATTGGAACCTTGGAGAGCTGCTGCCAGTCGATATTGAGAGTACTGGGCTAGACAGACCATTGGTATAAGGCAGCTTCCCATCTTCCTATGTACTGCTGTCAAAGTATGCTGTAAGGCACCTTTTGTCATGCTTTCATGCTGTAAGATCAAGTGTATATACTGCATTGTATTAAAATCCCTCAGGATTCAAACTAGCACTGTGTATTGACTTTTGCTGTTTTCATTATTGATTTCTTTCTGTATTGCCCAATAGTTGAAGCTCTCTGGATGGTTCTTGAAACTATAATAATTAAATGAATAGCATCATAGATTTTGAAATATTTTTACTGCTATGTCTCAGCTTTAAAAATGGTCCTCTAGAAGTCCCAATATGGGGGTTATTACTATCATGTGTGGGGTTCCAACCAAAGGGAAAAGAAACTAATAAAATGCAAAGAGATCACCATGATGAAGCTGTCCATGTGCTGTAACTGCCTTACACTAATTGCAACATCTTTTTTAAAGTCTTAAGGAGTTGAGAGAATCAAAGATTCTCAGCAAATGTAGTGAAGAATTACTCTGTACTAACTGCTGGCAATGCTGCTGAAGCTCACTAGGTCTTTTGTGGAGCCTGGCACCTTATAGGCCATGTTCTCCACTTTTATTTTTATTTTTTTTATTTTTGGATTTATATCCTGCCTTTTTCCTACAAAGGGCTCAAGGCAGCTTACATCTCCTCCTCCATCTTATCCCCACAACAACAACCCTGTGAGGTAGGTTGGGCTGAGAGTCTGTGACTGGCCCACAGTCACCCAGTTGGCTCCATGGCCGAGTGGGGACTAGAACCCAGGTTGTCTGAGTCCCAGTCCCATGTTCTTAACCACTACACCACACTGGCTCTCAAACTTGATGTTTGGGCAAGAAGTAGTGCCTTGAATGGCATCTGTGAATGGCCACTGACAGATAATTTTCTGTATTTCCTTACATCATTTTCCAACAGTTTGAGCTCACATGTTGAAAAGGAATCCATAAAACATACAATAATAAAGTGTAGAAAATCAGGTAATATGTATGCTTGTACAAAGCAGATATGGGTTTTTCAGATGATACATGTTTATTCAATAGTTGAAAAAATGAGTTATTAAACAAGTAGTTATCCATAATGACTTAACCTGCACTACTGCAAACAATGGTGTCATGCTGCACACCTTAATGGGATCATATATTTATATGGGGTTATAATAAAGATATATTTGAGCTGCTCATGTACCAGTAAGGGAACATAGAAAGGTCCAGTTCCCTCCCATTTAGCTTAGTAGTGTCTGCACTGTCAGGCCAGAGCTTTTCAGAGTCTAACTTTTCAGTTTTGAATGAGTCTCTTCCAGCTCTGCTGGAGAAAAACGGAGATTGGACTGGGATCTTTTGCAAGCCATGCATGTTTTCCATCCGTGAACTATACCTTTCCTAGATACACATTTAAAACTGTTAGTGGCAAATTATTTATATTATTTTCTACTGCACTATATTGTTAAAATAATGATACAAATGGATGCCTGTTTCTATTGGTGTCCCTTTTCAGTGTGATTCCTATGATCATTATTATTTAGTCAGATGTTTGTAGAAAAAGGATTCACATCCTTTACTATGCTTTTATTTCAGTGAAAGTCAATACTGTGGTTGGAATCCTATGCATACTCACTTGGAAGTAAGTCCCATTGTTAAACTTAATGGTTCTAAGTAGATATGCTGTTCTGCGTATACATGAAATAAAGCATGCAGAATTTAAAAGATGGAAGAAGAGAACAGTGTTCCCATATCTGTAAATAAGCATTTGGCTTTGAAAATACACCCACAAAACATGGTCTAGATTATGGCGTTCTCTCCATTTGCCTTTCAACGTGCATTAGGATGATAAGTTATATTAGAAGTTCAACAGAGAATAGGAAAGAAAAAAATAGAGTTCTGCAGTTTTAGCAATAGGATGGATCTGCAGTTTCCCATATTTAAATTTTGCCATATTTAAAGCAATGAAAGAGTTTTCCTCCAGCTCATGTTGGTTGATGCCTCTGAAAAAGCTGAAGAGGTTATCTTCACCTGTGGTACAATATATTTTGTTCTATTTTTTTCTTACAAATGATAGACTAGTCTGATTTAATGAGATTCTTGGCATTTAACATCTCTATGCAAGGCTTTCTCCAGAACAAGGTCTCAGCAAAAGGAAGTGTCTGAACTGCCAGATTTCTGCATATTTCAGGCATAAGAGACCTGCTAGGAAAAAATATGGCAGATATAGTAACTGTCATCAGTTCCCTGAGATAACACCTTATTAGGAGGAATCAAACACAGTATACAGTGAAATGGCAGGAAAGCTATTATGGGGCAGAGCTACCTCTCTTGCAATACAATCCTATATATTGCTTACTCGTGTGTGTGTGTGTGTGTGTGTGTGTGTGTTGCTTTTGCTAGTTGCAAAATCGTGTCCACCCCACTGTGACCCCATGGACAACACTTCTCTAGGCCTTCCTGTCCTCCACTATCCCCCGGAGTCCACCTAAGCTCACGCTGACTGCTTCAGTGATTCCATCTAGCCACCTCATCCTCTGCCATCCCCTTCTTCTCTTGCTGTCAATGCTTACAAGTAGGACAGAAGAAAGCACAGACTAGCTTGCATCTGACTTTAAGCTGAGGATGTTGAGCTAAGTTTACTTTGTTCCTGTGTACTGTCTCTTTTGTTTCATGCTCCCCAAACCAGGAACTTATTTTTGGGAAGGGAAAGCAGTGTCTGAGGCAGCAATAAGCACTCTAAGATGCCAGAGAAAGCTTTTTTCTACCATATCATATGGAAATGGTGTTCTTGGTCTGTAGTGGAAAGATGTTCTGCCAAGGACCTGGGGTCACCTGCTGCTTTTCCCACAGCCCCCATGTGCCCCAGAGGTAAGTTCTTTGGTTTGGGGACATGAAAAGGTGGTGGGGAGCCCTTGCAAGCTTTTTTGAGTCTTTTGTAAGCATGTGAATTGAATGCTCCTAAAAAGTTAGAGCTTTTTCAAGTGTTTGAACAAAAA